TGAAGCCAATGTGTAGGAATGCATTGCGTACTTCCGAAGGCAGCGCACGTCTGTGATTGTCCGAGCTCTTCTAGTATTCTACTGGAGACGCCACTGCATTCCACCAAGGGCAGCTGCAGGCATGCATTCACAAAGTCCGTGCCTTCACGATCACCGGCTGCTCAGGGAGCTGACCCTTGCCCAGCACCTTCATGTATCCGGCCTTTCAGCTCTGCGCAGGTTGGCCACTCAGGGACGGTCGACCACCACGCGCCTTCATGACATCGATCACAGGGGCCTTGTCAGTCTTGTCCTCCACGAAAGGTGTGACACGTCGTACTACGCAGTCTGCCATTGCTCGCTTATTACGGCACGCCACCTTGTAGAAAAGCCTGGTCTGCTCGGAAACCAGCGACCACAGGCGCTCGACGTTGATGGTCGGGATGACCTAGTTCACTACACGTGCCGCAAGCCCAGCATGGAGAAACACAGGCATCACCTTGCTGTGCTTGATGAGGTGGAAGTTGCGCATTCCCACCTGACCACTATCAGACACTCTGAGCCACTTCGCACGCGCACGAGAATGCGGGTGCACCCATTTACTCCAGGCCTTTCCGAAGTAGCCCGGGTGGTACTTGTCGAAGTTGATGCGATGGTGGTGCCTCGGAAAGCCGTTTGCAGTTGCCCTGGACCAGCTTGAGGCACGAAATGGCACGAAGCTGAGGGACGTGCTGTCCACCCGAATTTCCGCAACCGCCCGGATGCTTTCGGTGCTTGCCGATGCGCCCGTGGCCTTGAGAAGCAAAGCGCTGTGCCCAGGCTTGTGCAGCATCTGCAGCGCGACAGGCGCCGGGCCCCGCTTGCGGTGGGCGTGCATCTTGCGGCTCTTCTTGAAGCGGGTGGTCATGGTGCCTTTCGAAATGCAACCACACGCTCTGCCCGTGCAATATATGAGCCAGGAGGCCTGCTGGTCGGCCGGAATGGATGAACCGTGTCTACCCTTGATCGCGATGAACAGCAGCGGGTGCAAGTGGCAGTCGAGGCTGGGTCGGATTCGCGACCAAGAAGCACAGAAGCAGTAGCAAACAGCCCATAAGATGAGGTTGTTGCTCGGCCTTTGCAGCTGCGAACGAGTTGGACCTACTTGCACAACGTGCGGGCCGGTGCCACTTTGGGCACTGTCTCGGCCTACATTGCGTTAACCAGAGGAATCGGGCCGGAGCCCATCCAGTGCATTTACTTTACCTTGCAGCTTTCCAAGTCTCAGCCTGAAGCATCCTGCATCCCCAGTGAATGCCCATCTGAGATTCTATCATACGCAAGACGCAAGGATGCTGAAGTTTGAGCTTCTGTTTGCAGAGCTTCATGCAATGAGAAAAGCTTCAGCATGTCTGGAAACCCGCTGGAAACTGCACACTATGCACCAGGCACCAGGGTTGGCTAGGCAGCTGCCTGCTCCAACCCTGTACAAAGCCAAATCAAGCACACTGACAGCATCCCGAGCCAAGCAACGGATGCAATTGACCCAGGATGTCAGCGCATTGCATTAACTCCAGCGCAGATGACCGCTTCCTGTTGGTAAAATTGGCTCCACCGCAGAAAAAAAAAAGGATCATCCACCTTTCTCGGCAAGATCATCACCTTTGGCGCTGGGTGGTCGCTGGTTGGCGCGGTGAGCTCATTCGTGGCTGCAAACGTTGAGGAGAAACCATGCATATTCTCGGAGGCCTGAAGCACAGACGTCTCTGCATAGCCCAAGAAGTCCTGAGGTATTCATGCTGAGGCGGTCACGTCGGAGAAGCCAGCTTATTCGGCACCCTCTGCACATGGCAAGGTCCCAAGGATCTGCGCAAGTGTACTACCTCAGCTGAAGCGGGGAAACCAGGACTGCAGGCAGTCCACGGTCACGGTCTCAGTCCACCACCTGGGGACCCGCAGATGGTTGCCCGAGAGGTGCCTAGTCAGAGTCATTGCGTCACAAACCCCTTTCACCTGTCTGGGCTCATCAAGTCTCAGCGGCGAACAATGGGAGTTCCTTGCCTTTTCTGGATGGGGTCTTGCCTTTCATGTCATATGCAGGATGTCAAGCGATGAAGCGATGAAGTCCTCTTGCAGGAAGGTTGTACGCCTGGTCTTCATCACCGATGACGGTGTCAAGGAATACGCCATCCTGCAGATTGCTTTTGAAAGTACACCAAAGGTGCATTGGACACCATCACCATTACGGGCCTTTGGCATGATGCATCACCTGCAAAACCCGCTTGAGCATTGTGGGCAAATCTCAAAGCAGAGTTGTACTTCGTGCTATAAGCTCTCTGCATCAATTGCTGTCTAGCTGCATGAGAGCCACGCGGCCCTGCTTGTTGGCTCGGAAATTGGCATTTCAGGCCTAGGAAGGGGAAAGGTCCAAACCAAGCACTGCGCTGACATCCTCTGCAGGCTGGCCTGGGATTGTGAACTGGAAAAACTAGTCCAGGCACTACCTGACAAGGCGATCAAGTTTTCCTTTGATGAAATGCGATGGCGTCCTCATTCAAGCTCCGTACAGTGCGTGGCTGGCACCGTGCGACCACTGCAGGCATGGAGCGGCGTCGCTGGGTCTGCCATGGAGCACTTCACATGCTCTTATGCTACGCTGGAAGTGTAGAGGTGCCGTGAAGCTTGGGAGACTCAAACCCGGACACCGCGTGAACAAGGACAAGACGATTTAAGGCATTTAAGGCACTAAACGTTGCTCGCATTACAAATTACTAGTATCTTGCATTAGCAATCAGGCGGCATGACGAAAAGCGCAGGGTCTGGGAACTGCGGGGCAGCTGCCGAGCCTCGGACGAGTCGGACGAGCAACGCACACTGAGATGCTCAGAACTTTAGCTGAACATCAGTGAATCCGAGCACCTGAGCACCTGTCATCTTGCAGTTGCTTCCTGAAGCTGCGGGTGCGCAGTGCCCCATCCATCCGTCTGCCCGGCTGCGGCATGAACTATCAAAGCGCTGCCGCCTGTGCGTTTGCTTGAGTCTCCAAGCGCTCCAGCCTGTCGCTGGATTGGCACAAAGGCGCACGAAGTATACTTCCATCCGACTGAACATTTCACCCTCTTAGGGTCGAAGAGACACAAAACATCAATCCAGCAATGACACACGTATGAATATAAATCGCGCCTTCTCTTCATTTCGGCGCTGTCTTCTCGCAGCTTCGTTAAGACCTGCACTGTTCGTCGTGAACTCCAAGCAAAGACCAGCAAGCCATACAAGGGCATGCCTCTATTGGTACGGCTCTTGCACCTGACAATACACAGCTCTGAAGGCGACCTCTGGCCAAGAATGCGCATGGCAAGGCAAGCTTCAAGATCTCAGCATGTGGCTGGCCGCCGTCCGTTTCAGCTCAGCCACCGTGTCCTGCTCTAAGAGTACAAATTCCCTTCCCTTCCCTCCGACCAAGGCGTGGCGGCTTGGCCAGAGGAGCAGAGCTGCGCGGATTCGCGTTTTTTGGATTCTGCACTGAACGACTTTTCCTCAACCGCACCCTTGGGCCTCTCAAAACATTCGCAAAGAGAGAACGTTGATATAACATCTAGCCGAGTGTAGTCTAGTGCCATGCCCTGGTTGGTGTGGAATGGTTGAAAATCAGAGTAGGATGCTTCTGGCCTCAGCCCTTCTTCCGGCTTATTGTAGAACTCAAGTTACTGCCTACATGTCAGACATGGGATTCCCCGCTTGCCTCTCAGTCCAACCTGCCCTCCTCTGCCAGTTGCAATTCGAACGAGTCCCTCCACCAAGCTCCCCGACTTTGCGATCGTCGCAAAAGGCAAGAGTTTAGATGCTGTCAACTGTGCTCTGCAGACAATCTGGTAGAGATAGTGGCCAGTGCGCGAAATCTAGAAGGCCATGGGAACCACCCTCTGTGCCTGCAGTGCAAAAACTGTCTCGCCGATGCTCTGGGACAGGCTGTGCGCCCTGTCAGAAGGGACTTTGCGTTGCCTTCCCCAAACCCAGGCAGCTCAGCCTCTGAAGTGAGACCAGTATGCCGCAGTCCTGCTTGCCAGGTGAACAGGCTGGCCGTGCTGGTGACTGCTTGTGGTGCACAACGGCATGTCTATCACTCGTTCAGTACCATCCTGCCGGGAACCAGGGCTTGAAACGCTAGCCTGCAAGCACAGGGAAGAACCATCACCGTTCTGGTTGCTGCATGGTAGTTTCAGCCTCATTGCGTAGCTCCATCTTGGTGGTGGAGCCACCATCATCCTGATCCTAGGCTGGCGAGAATGCTCACATCAACTACCACACCGCAAGAGGAAACCCTATGCAATGGGGAAGCAGGAAGACCCGCCGAGTCGCCCAGCGTGAAGCTACAAGTTTTGGCTGCAACTGACTTGATGAAACAACTTCCATCTGCTGAGATCTTCTGGCAGATGAACACAGCAGACGCAAACATGTGGTGCTGGATGTCAGGAGTTCGGTCACTTGCCGGCAACGGTGCGAACAAGACACGACGCTACAGCTCTACAGGTCTATTCTCCTCCATTGGGTCCCGAACCCATGTGTCACAGGTTCGCTTTTCTTCCACGTCGAGAAGTTTGCTTCCACCAGCCTTTCTTCATGTTGACATCTGGGTGAAGTTCTCATTGACATCCTTGCCACACATAATTATGACCGTCAGCCTGGACCTTCGTGCCCTGCTTTGATGGTGCCCGGAACAAATCCTGCAGCATTGCAAGAGGAAAGTTCTGGCAATAAATCCTTTTCCAAGCGGGCACAGCTGCTTAAATCGGTCCCTCATCCGCTTCACCTCGGTGCGGAAGTCTGACACCTGCAGTGTTGGGAAAGCTGTGCTGTGACCTGCCGAACTAGCATACAACCTCTAGAATAATCTAGAACGCGCGATGAGGCCCAAGACCAGCCCTGACAAATGCCACACACTCTGATTGAAAATCTTGCAATTCGGGCAAGCCACCGGCCATAGAGTGACGGCATCTTCCACTGCCTCCCAAAATAATACTGCTCATCGCTCAAAAGAGGCCAGAAAACCAGGATGCCATTCTTTACTCCATACGCGGGGGATCGGGACGAGCCTGTGACCGATGGCGAAGGCGTATCAGCGGCTCCTCGACCAGAACAGTGACATCACCACCACCACATTTTTATTGTCACCAACCGAGGCCGCGCTTAAGCTCAGTCGTGTGAAGTATGGTGTTTTTTTTCGGCCTCTGTTGAACCAGACATTGAAGTCGGTGAAGGATCCACAACCTGGAGCTTCTGTCCAAGCAGCTTCCGCCATTGCGCGGCTGGTCTTCTAGTCAAATTTGCTCAGGGTGCCAAGGTCAACGTCTGAAAGCAACCCACCTCGAAGAACTTGGACTCTTTCGATGCAATTTGCAGGTAATCCAGTTCCTGCGAGCTGTGCGGCCGACAACGTTCAGGATCAAGAGATGCTGGCGGCAAAGCCGCTTCCTTGATGAGTTCATTCGCTTCATCAATGAGCCCTGCCAGGGACCTCCAAAGGCAGGTTCGTTGGACACCCTTTTTGGCTCATTGGCATTGTAGAAAAAACGTCTATGAGATATATGATGATCTATGAGTAGAAGCGATGCAGCAAAAAAGGATTCAGAGCCAACCTCGACGTGGGATCTTTTCGTACCTTTCGCAACGCGGGCGCCCTAAACAGATGTGGCGGTAGCAAAGACCTGAAGTGCCTCCGGGCAGAGCTCTGAACTGCCGCGGGTGACAACAAGCAGCTCGTGCGCCTGCACAGTCGCACGCTTCATGCTATATAACTAAAAGCACACCTCTCCTCATACCACACTGACTGAGAACAGCCCTTCGGCTGCAACTGCAGGTGTAGCAACTGCAGCATCACTACCTGGACCAAATGCAACCGTGAGGAAGGCACCCAGCCCAATTGCAGACGATCGCCATTGGTGAGCGGCTCCTGCATGAATACAGACCGCAAGGCCAAGTTGCAGCACCCTGGCCCGCCACACGATGACAACATGCGACGTGACAAAAGTTTGGGCAGCTCCGGCGTTGTTCCATCCAGCATCTTCTCGTTCAGGCACAGACGGTGCCTCTCTGTGCTTCCAACCGAATGACCAAAACCTCCTTCAAGCAGTAGACTCTGGCCTGCCCGGAGCCAGATGCTTCAGCCAAAGACCACCACCAGTATCCTGCTTGTCCAAACTGCATTCTGTTGTAAATCTGTGCCGCTGGCCGCATGCATGCTATTGGACTTGGCTCCCCCACAAAGATCTCGCAGTGCTCAGGTGCGATGCCCAGGCCCTGCAGTACAACATCTGCACTTCAAAGATCTGCCAAGAGATCTGAAGGGGAACTTAAAGCAAACATGGCCGCGCACCTGCAAAGAGAGGCCCTGCACAGATCCCAGAACTCGCGAGCCATACGGGTGAACTGCATAGGCCTCCATGCTTCTCAGCTTTCAGGACAATACTCTCTCCCGTCGGCTTTACTGCCGATCTAGCAGCTTTCTTGGACATGGACCAGGCAGCCGGTAAGCATGGGATCACTGTGCAGTCGCGGCAGATAAGCAGCAGCTGAAGCCAAATCCTTGACACTCAGGCTAATGATGGCGAATCTGGGTCCCAAGGATGCACGGCCTCGTCGGATGCAAAGCCCCAATCTCTGAGAGAATTCTGCTGCGCCTGCGCATGAATCTAAGCAGGCCTGTGAACGACACTCAATGACTCATCACAGACTGCCCGACCTGCAGCAAGGCCTTCGTGGCAGCAGCTTGCTCCTGCAAAGCCAGGGGAGTCTAAACTCCTTAAATGGGGTTACATGGGGGACACATAGGGGACTTCTATAGGGTCTCTTAAGGGGGATACCAGGCCAGTGCGGATAGATTCGTATAATTGAAACCTGCTTCAGGAAGATTGCGCACAAGCACGTTTTACGTCCAAGCCGGCGAGAGACAGTAACAGTCCGTAGCATGACACAAGCAAAACTCCTTTAGCGGAGCCCTCCAAGAAAATTGCCTTGGAAACGTGAATGACTTGAGCTTTCTTCTTTGAAAAAGCTGTCTCTGAGAAGTCTGGTGGACCAAGGCCCGAGCTCAGCAGATACACGTTGAAGAGCAGAAAGCCTTGCCTCCTTCGCTCCAAGGACCGAATTCTGCTTTTAGCACTCGTTCACATGCTATACCGGCTCATGTTCTCCAGGCCTTCTCAGCAATCTCCGGCCCCAGCCTGGCTACGGCACGTTCACATAGGCAGGACCACTTGCGCTATCACACCGACCCATCCTGCTCCGCTGCCAGGAGGATTGCAGAGCCTGCATGTTGTACAAAATGATAAGCTCACGAGGCTTCTAAATCTAAGATGCTTGAGATACACATCACCACAGCACAAGCTAACGCGCACCTCTATTGCCTGCTCCAGACCACGGGTCTGGCTCGGCGACAGCTGGCCTTGCACAACCCTTATGCTGAAAGTATCCCACTCAAGGCAGATGCATCTGCACTTAGAGGGGAGCTTGAGCAGAAGTTGGATTTACCAAGCTGAGTGCATCAGTATTGCCCGTAGCGTGCGATGAGTCGGAACAGAGCATCAGAAATGCAGAATGGAACGCAGATTTGTGATTTTGCCCCCAGCTGGCGCCAAAACCTAGAGGCCAGCATTCTATCCAACTTAACACATTACCAAATTGTTTTATTCTCATCCTTGTCCCATCAAATGAAATTAATCACTGCGACATTTATCGTTTTCCCATGATCTGCACATGCCGTGCAAATTGTGTGAGTTCTATGAGTTCTATATAAGCCGCAGAGACGCGGGTTTTGCACCAGCTCATCTAGCGTGGACGTTCGCTGCACTGCATAGGCACACGCACACCGAAATCTTCTAGCTGATGTCTTGAGAAGCCCCTCACTTTGCAAGACTGATAGTCGAGCAGCATGTCATGATATGAAGTCCACTGCAGTGTGCTTGGCCTTCCGGGGCCATACGGTCCAGCGTGGCCGCTGCATCGACCGTCACTTGAACCATCTCCAGGTAGGGCGCGGCCTGCAAGCTTGCACCATGCACAAAGCACTGCAAAAGCAGCACATGCAGCACAGAACGGTTGAGGCGACAAGTCTGCGACCTCGCTGTGGGCCTGACCTGTCCGTAGAACAGGCAAGCATCTTCTATCCAAATCAGAGTTTCAGAAAAAAGGGTCGGCTTGATGTAACCTGTGGAAAGCAAAGGCCGAGTATGTCATAGCAGGGGACAACATGTCAACATGACTCATACTTGGATCCACTTTCTGCCAGGCTTGTCTTCCAGGCCTGGAGACAGCGCAGAAAGCAGAAGGAGCTGCTCCCGGCAGCAAAGTGCGTCCTGCCCCAAGTTGCAGCGCTCCGCATAGCTTCTGTGTAGGAATCTATGTGGCCTCAAGCAACTGTGTGAGGACACTCCGCCGGAAGAAGGCTTTCCCTAATCCTTTTGCCTTAGGCCACCATATGCATAATTGAGTGATGCTGCTGGGAGCTGCAGCCGACCCAAGCATCTCACACGAGGCCCTCCAAGAGCAAGATCTTTCAAGGCCTGGCTGTTCTTGGCAAGCTGCTAACACCAAAGGGCAAGATCCACTTCTCGGATATTCCGCCTCAGAGATTCCAAGCAGCGACACGTCCTCATGGCAACCGCTGGGATTACTGAATGCAACACATCACCGCATTTCTAGTGACTCTAGTGCGATTCTACCCAAGACCTAAGACTACCCGTTGCAGAAGCATGCTTCCTTGAAGCCATTGTAGCTAGCGCAGTCAACGAATGCCAACCGCGACCTGCACCATTGCTTCACGCTCATCAACCCGCATCAGTTGGGCAGCTACAACTACTACCCGCTGCCCATGCAGATTTCAAGTGAAGAAACAGCGCAAAGTGTCCTGGACGAAGAATCTGTTGGAGTGCATCCGTCGGGTGCGGCCACGGAAAGGGTAAACACCTCGTGTTGCGGCTGTGGCACGCATGTACACTGCTCACACTTTAGTTGCCGAGCGCATACAACAAAATCGCCAGATCAAAAAAAGCGCGCGGCTGTGTGCGAGAATCCATGCACCTGGTACCCAAGCTGAGTAAACTGGAGCAAATGCCGAGATGTTGTGAGTATCGGCGCTGTCCTTGTGCTTTCCTGAGGGCAACGCTCCCAGGAGCTTCGAATTTGCAGCGCGCTTCTTGTTGCCGAAGTCAACCAGCTGCTGAACCTAGGAAGGAAAGTAGCTGCCAGGCTGTTGCTGGATCTCTCCAAAGCATGCGCTTCGGGCCTCACCAACAGACTCCACGAAGCACTCTGTCAGTTCCAGCACATGCGCGGAGGCACCGGGCAGCTCTACTACCTCCAGGTCACTGTAGGCAGCAAAAGCAGTGCATCCCACGCGCCTGGTGCCTCAAGGGTCTTTGCCTGACAACTCAGGCAGGCATAAATTCAAGGCTACAGAGGTAGGTTCCGCTGCGAGCCTTGATCTGTGGCGAAGGCAATGGGGCTAGGAGATCGATGACCTCCTCATTGTGCACCTGCTTACAATGAGAGTGCCACCTTCCAAGGCGTGGCCACCCCAGTCCCCCAAGCAGCAGCGCCTCCAGGAATGAGCACCAGACCTTGTCACCAGCTGATGCCAACACCAGCAGGTCGAGTATGGCTTCATGGGTACAGCTTGGTGAAATGCTCTTGCTGGCCGGCCAAGAGTGGAGAAGTGGCGGAACACTCCAAGAGTTGCGTGCCTCAGGTAGCTTCAGCCAGAAAGAACATCACAAGTCCTGTTGACATTTCTGTAAACATCCGGACTTTTGGTACCGTGCGGGATGAGGCCGGGATCTGTTCCTGGAGATGCATTTGCTTGATGTAGTGTAAGTTTGACCCTCTGCCACCGTAGCACTTGACGACATTTAGCTGGAACAATTCATCTGAGGTTGTGCACCATAGCCCAGCAGCGAGTGGCCTTGCACAACGTGCCCCATCAACTATGCAAAGGTCCTCGAGGCGACCGCTGGATTAAGCAAAGAGCTTTTACCGCTGGATGGTGGACCGCATGCGACAACAGCTGCACTCATCCCCCGCACGACCTGTCAAGTGAAGTGTTTTCTCAGCAGCTCTGCACTTCCACGGGGTGCAATGCCTCGTGAACAGCTCTTGCCAGGAACGCCGTGTAAAAGGTAGCCTTTGGGTCACCGCTGTTCAACTGAACACTCGAGAATTGTGCTGCATTGGCCTGAGCATGCTGGTGGGTAAAGACGAAGTGAGACGGAAAGATGACGCCATCGTGCACCTGCAATCGTCATAAGTGTTCCTTTGCGACAAGCGTCTGCGCGCATCTCGTGACTTGGGCATCTGCATCTGAGCGTAGCTCCACAGCTGCAGGTGCCTTGGCGGGAATTGAGAAGCTGAATGAGGTTCAAAGCAACGCGTCAAAAATTCAAGTTGTGCGTTGAGCTTCTGATGGAGAGGATGTTGATGATATCCTCGCTTGCTGCCCAACCTGGTGGAGTGCTCTTTGACGTTGATCGGAAGTAAAACCAAACCAAATTAGGTGTCTAAAGGGTCCCGATGTCTTGTCGAGAGTTCGACAGCCCAGCAGAAAACCGGAGGATCGTGCTGCTTGGTTGCCCCAAGCCCCCGCCTCCCTCAACCTCTCATTCTCCTCCCTCGCTGTTGTTCCCTGCGGTAGCAGAAGTGGCCGGGCACTAACTTTTGAAGAATCCTCGAAAGACCTGCGTAGATTGAAGAGATTGCTTGTGGAGGGAAGCGGGCTTATGAGGGGGACCTTTTGTCAACATGCTAAACGTATTGGCAGACAGCATCGCGCAGGTGTAGGCAGAAGGCTCCTAAACCCGGAAAGAACCCTGAAACAAGACTAAACAAACAAGCCTCCTAGCAGTCCTAGCAAGGCTTAAGGTCCAGTCTAAGCACAGCTGCACGTCCACGAGCCTCGTCAGGAAGCAGAGGCCGAATCCTCACCGCTGCAACAGGGCTCACCGGGCTCGCAGGAGATGACCTCGCAATGAGCCGCTTTGAACCGCATTCTGGCCGAGCGAGCCCGAGCAGGCGACCGTGTGCCCTGCGTACCGACGGAAGCCATGGGCTTGCTACGCCAAATCGCTTCCCTAATTTGTTTTATGCTTTGGGAGAAGTGAAATCATGGCTATGCGAATGGCATTGCAGCACGCACTACCGAACCAACCCCTACTTGGCCCAAGTGCAAGTACAATAGACGCAGCTTGTTGCATGTGCACTCGCACTGCGGCTGACTGTCTCAGTCGACATGATGAGACGTGGCTTTCAAGGCGATATACCTTTTTTGGCATCCGGCTCCGCGCCATGTTGCTTCGCGACTCAGGCACACAGTACGCACACACCACCTGCCCAGGAAGCAGCAACAGCTGCAGTACTACCTTTATGTAGATCCATCTCATGCAAATCTCAGATCTCTGGCTTGAAAACATCTCGAAATTTCTTCTCTATCGGCAAGCGCTTTGTTCTGCAAAACAAGGTCTAGCAGGGAACCTGCGGCTTTGATCTTCTCCTCGGCCTCCTTGGTGAAGTAGCGTGCCTGTATCAAGCCAAGCTTGGGGAAGGTGCTTGCTTCAGGCACCGCTGGAATACCTTGACGATCACGGGCTGCTCTGGCAGCTGGCCCTTGCCCAGCACCTTCATGTAGCCTGCCTGCCAACATCTCAAGCCTAGTGCTTGCTTGCTTTGCTAGCAGCAAAGCAACTTGCCTTCAGCACATCAATGACAGGAGCCTTGTCAGTCTTGTCCTGCAACGCCCCAGCTATCTGCAACTTTAGGCTCCAACTTCTTTTTGTTCAGCAACCCTTCGGCGTTGATCCAGAGGATCCACATCCTTGTAGAAAAGCCTGGTCTGCTCGGAAACCAGCGACCACAGGCGCTCGACGTTGATGGTCGGGATGACCTACTCCACTACACGTGGCGCAAGCCCAGCATGGAGAAACACAGGCATCACCTTGCCGTGCTTGATGAGGTGGAAGTTGCGCATTCCCACCTGACCACTATCAGACACTATCAGCCACTTCGCATGCGCACGAGAATGCGGGTGCACCCTTTTACTCCAGGCCTTTCCGAAGTAGCCCGGGTGGTACTTGTCGAAGTTGATGCGATGGTGGTGCCTCGGAAAGCCATTTGCAGTTGCCCTGGACCAGCTTGAGGCACGAAATGGCACGAAGTTGAGGGACGTGCTGTCCACCCGAATTTCCGCAACCGCCCGGATGCTTTCGGTGCTTGCCGATGCGCCCGTGGCCTGGAGAAGCAAAGCGCTGTGCCCAGGCTTGTGCAGCGCGACAGGCGCCAGGCCCCTCTTGCGGTGGGCGTGCATCTTGCGGTTCTTCTTGAAGCGGGTGGTCATGGTGCCTCAACTTGTCGCCATGTCTTGTCATGCAGTGTTCAGATGACAGGACAGAGCAGACACTGAGGTGGAAACTGAGTTTGGCGGCGGTGTGCGCTTTGGTTGGACGCCTTCCCTTGAACCGTCAATCGAGGCATGTGTCGCATCTGCCTGGTGGGTGTTTGACTTGCCCGCATCTTGCTAATGGTACTGGTGATCGTGATGTTTGCCCTCTTTGCATCAAGGCCGGCCAGCTGCCCACATTTTACAACCCGTGCTGCTGTCCGTGCATGGGTCTATTGAAAATGTGAGAAGCAACGAGAATCATTCTGGCTAGGCCTATGTACAAATCAGGGTGGTCAGGACGGCAAATCACGTCCAAGAACCCTCCTCAGCGGCTCAGCGTTACAAAGCTGCAATTTGCTTGATCATGTGAGGTTCAAACGCCCTGCTAGGTTCAAGTGGCGACGGGGTCGCTGCGGCAAAATTTCACAAGATGAGCAGTTCCGTTTGCGCGATGAAGGAGGTACAGTACCGCATTTGGAGTCCGATGGAAAGGAGTCCCTCTATGACGACTCTATGAAACTTAGAGATAACCGGATCATCCTAAGATCGAAACGGACTGCTGTGAAGACAAGGACGCATGCGGTGTGAGTGCACGTGATGAGGAGCCAGTCGCAAGACTCGCATTTGGATCGAACACTGCGCAAGTGCAAAAAAGTCCCAGCCTGGTGTGGGCTGCGACGGCGTTGAGAGCTTCCACCTAGTCCAGTACACATCTCATCCCTCTCTCTCACCAAACACCCTGCCAGAGCCCATGTCTTGGCCTGGCCGGAAGCTTCATGCCATGCCGTGAGTAATGAACAATATGCCGCCTGAGACACATTTGCTCTTGAATCAAAGCTCTCGCCCTGCTTCAGCAGACCAAGTGTCCCTAGCCCTAGCCTTCAGATCGCGGCCGAAATCTTCCTGATCGCATGCCTTCAGCCTTGACAACTGTTTGCTCTATCGGTGGTTGCGACTACATGATGATCTCCTCTGGCTGCGAAAAGCTGAGATGCCGTCAGGCGCAACAGGACTGTGCTGAGCTCTTGCCTCTGCCACTCACATTGGCTGGCAGCAGAATGAATCGCATGAAGCCGAGCCTTAAGTAAGACATCAGACTTGCGCCTGCCAGGTACCATGATACATCTGCAACGGCCATGCACCAAACGCGCGCATTGCAAACCAATTCAGTCTTTGCAAAGGCCTTGGTCCTCCCCTGTGGACAGAAGTGCATTTCGCACCTGCTCATCCTTGGGTTGCCACCCTCCAACATGAGACGGAGTCACGTTGCATATGCTGCTGCTACTGCTGCTGGACTTACGCTGAGGTCTGAGGGCACTTCCCGACTCTGCTGTGGGGCGCCTCCTTCGCGTTGCCAGCGCTTGGAGAAAAAAAGCCAAGCAAGATGCAAGCTGCTTGATGAGCAAATCAACCCCTGCCTGCTGCAGGTTCGCCTGCCTGGCAGTCACATTCTGCCCAGCCACAAGGCCCGTTCCTCAACAGATCGGCCTGTGTAGGACTCTCGCCGCCTCTGCAGGGAGTCTCTGGATGCCTGAGCAGTAGATCGTCACACGCATGGCCGCACTGCTCGCCTGTCTTGGCTTGCAGCTCTGGCGAAGCCAGCCTGAAATGGCTTAGGTAATCTTCCGCGTTCACGATTCTCTGTGCACAACTAGCTGGCTGACAAGCGCCTGGAGACGGCAACTTCGCAGAGGAGTGACGCTGCTTTGGCATCACCAGTCCAAGCTGGCCGGCCTGTCTCTTCCAGGGTCTATCGAGGCACAAGAGATGAAAGCATCTGCCTTTCTGCGAGGTGCGACGAGCCGCCTAGCATCACACCACCACACTGGGATTGAACGGAACAAAACAACAGCATGCTGAGAGGGAGCCTTCGCTTCCAGCAGCTTCAACGCAACGCCAACTGCCTGCAGGAACACGGCCCATTACACTCCGCTCGCTTAGCTCTTGACTTGCCTTCTTACATCAAACCGTGCTGTATTGGTTGAACATGTTGAACAGAATTGTCTCATTGCGACAAAGCCGTTGAAAGTCAGATTGAGAAAAGGTCCTGAACGTAAACAGCTCTCGACTCGAAGCCTCGACTCGCTCATCAATAGGGGCGGATGCCCATTGATCCTTAGGTCACATCAGGCAAGTTCCAGGAAACGTTGGCAGAACGTGCTTCCCTGGCATGAGCTGTAGCGTTGCCTGTTGCCGACCAGCGTCAAGTGCGTGTTGGCAATGAGTCACTGCCAGCTTCTGCAGCCGGCTGTCGGCACCCGCAGTGCAAAAGTACACCTCAGGCCGACAACTGCTGCAGCGCAGAATGACGAATCCGCGCACAGCATCTAACTCCATTCGTGTTCTCTGGTTCTTTCGTTGTGGAGGGAAGGACGAAGGCTTGCGCACAACCCTTCTCAGGAGGAGGGGCGGCCCCCAAGCTCAGGAAGAAGTCCTGGACCATGGGGAGTGAGGGGGTGCGGGCCCGGCAAGCACGTGATCACACATGACATGGCTTGCTGCCAGTTTTCTGAAAGTTATGTCGCGTGTTTTGGAGATTTTGATAAGGGGGCTGAAAGCCATCAACGTTTTACCAGGGGCATGTCGTGAAAAAACCCTAACAAAACCCAGATCATGGAACCGGGAAGCCTTACAACCTAACCTTCAGCCAAGCTTGGTTCCTGGAGTGCACGTTTGCAGCGGGTGTTCAAGGGTTTCCGCTCTTTAAACAAAAGTCCACACATGCGTCCGCGAAGGGCAATTGAGCCTCAGCCCAGCATCAGATTGAAAAAGAGTTGCACAAGGCTGTTCCATGTTTTCTTAATGCTGCGCAAAACTTTGTTGATTAACGAGGTTGTGCAGTTGCTCTTGCTCTTGCCATCAGTTTTCGTTGCACGTCACTAGCATCAGCCCGCAATCTTGCAAAATCAGTTGCAAGCGCTGAGCATGCTGAGCTGAAGGCGAAGGCAAGGCCTGGACAAACAAATCACAAAACGATGATGTCATAGATCCATGGCTGCACTGCCCTGCACTGCACACAGCTGCTTGTTCCTAATTGCGCGTTTCAGACAAATGCACAGCCAGGTGTTGGATTGATTTTTCCTCTCCAGACAGCTGCTTTTCGACTGCGGTGCTGTCACCTCCACAGGATGCATCACCCCAGGTGAGAACGGCTCCACTTTCACGCAACAACGCAAATGCAAACTTTGTTGCACATAGTCCTTGGATCTTGGGGACACAAATGATCAGCTGATCGGCCGATGGACTCTCGTGCGTTTAACAAATGGAGTCTAACAAGATTGGCCAGAGGAACAAAGGATGCTTGTCCAGGAGTTCAACCGGCCTTCAGCACGCCTAACGGCTTGACATGACAGTCGGAAAGAACACAAACAACTGCTGGAGAAACCAAGGGTCTCTTCACATCCTTCACGCTCGCATGCACAGAAGGCGCAGCTTGAGCAACATCGCCCCAAGTCACAATTCCACCATTGCTTTTTATGGCAGCAAAAGATACCTTGAGATCTCAATGTTATGCACAGAACTGCAGAAACACAAACGAGCACAAGGTCCCAATTTTCTGTCAAAAGGCATTGTTGGCATGCAGCTCCACCACACCGGACGACAGCACTTCGCCCAGCGGCGCAGTGTCAGCTCCGTGCCTCTGGTCGCCCCAAGCGATAACGCTGCCATCTTCTTTCAAAGCAGCAAACGCAGCACGCGTGGAGCAGAGCTGCTTCACATCTCCAAGTTCAGGAGACTTGCCCCCACAATCTTTATCACCCCAGCAAACCACTTTACCATCCTGCCTCAATGCAGCAAAAGCCCCTCGTGTGCTGCAGAGCTTAAGGACTCCATGCAGGTCTTTCCGTACCACACGGCTATCGCCTCCAGAGGCTTCGTCCCCCCACGTTACCACCTCACCGTTGCAACAAAGCGCGGCAAAGGCATCATCGGTTGAGTAAACGTGACGCACACCTCCCTCAAGAGACTCGACGACTGCTGAGCTGTCACCCCCCGAATCTGGATCGCCCCATGTTATCACAGATCCATCCTCCCGCAATGCTGCAAACGCGCTAGGGTTTGCAAAAACCTCAGACACGAAGGAGGAGTTTATCTCCACGAAGTCTTCTTGCACTTTGCTGGAATCGCCCCCAGCACTCGGATCGCCCCACGTAATGACAGAGCCGTTGACCTTCATTGCCACAAAAGCTGCTTTGTTTGCCCAAACGTGCTTCACATCCTTGGCAAGCCTGTGTACAACGGATCTTGCGTCCTGAGACTGTGCAGAACGAAAAGTGCTCATAGATCGCCATCCCAGTGCAGTAGGCTCCCCTCACATGTATAATGCTTCTAAAGCCCTTCAATCCCAATGCTGCTCAGCATCGCCTCCATGAGCTGCACTGCCCCACACGGCCACGGATCCATCTTGCTTTAGGGCAGCAAATGCCGAATCTGTTGCTGTCAAACCAATGACCTCAACTTTCACTGTACCATTTGACATTCAACAAGTGCTAACAGCATCTTGTACCTTCTACAACAATCTCGGCGAGTTGCACCGCCTTCTAGGCAGCTTCTCACAGCTCGACTATCGCCTCCATATTCAGCGTGACCCCAAGTTATCACGGAACCATCCAATTTCAATGCAGCGAATGCAGCCGAGGAAGGACATACTGAAACAACGCCCTCCAGGATCTGGTCAGCAACTTTTCCGCCTGGACGCTACGTCTGGGACAAACAAAAACCAAGCCGGGATGTCTCATCCTTGTGTCCAAAAAATGCGGGCCCACGTCTGAGATGGACAATCAGGCTTTGCTGGCCAGCCGTTTATATCTCTAGGTCAGGCTTAATTCAATCTAAGTGGCATTCTCCACCAAACTGTGCATCCCCCCAGCATATCACTGCTCCTTTAGAAGTGATAGCAGCGAATGCCCTGTGGTTGGCCACGATATCGACGACCATCACTAGGCACAGACACCAGGCATGGTTCGCGACCACGATGGCAAGCACAGCCCCAAAGGGAGCAAATCAGAGAGTCTTCAGCATGCCTATTCACAGTACCTTAATCTCAAAGCAACGTTGCGGGAGCCAGCCAAGTCAGGAAATGTGCGGCTATAGTAACGCTGATTTCTAGTCCTTGTCAGCCCAACGTCGGGGACCACCCGAATGAGCTCGCAGCTGCAAACGCACAAGTGCTTTGGAATCAGGAGACCAGTCTTCTTGCATCGCCTACAACACAAAAACACATACTCTGACCTCTTGCGAGGCTCGAGTCCACGTTGCTAGCTACGATCGTGAAGCTTGGGTGAATGTGGTTGCCAGGATTGCATTTTCTGGGATCCAACAGGCCTGTTCCAACGCTTTCTTCGGCCATCAATTCCCGGTGTCCCTACATTTCTATCAACATCTGTGGCTGGCAGACCTCTAAGGCTTCCGCATGCATGTACGGAGCAGCAGGGAACCGGTGCTTCAGCGGAACGAAAGCAGGTGGCAGCCTTTCACTGCGCAGGGATTCAATTGTAGGGATCATGGAAAAGAAAATGGAAACTACAACACTACATTGTAATACGGTATATATTGGGGTTATTTAGGGGTAATATAGGGATAATGGAAAATGAAATGCAAACTACCTTCTACATGCAAGTTCAATGAGTGAAAAGCTATCTCTTCCTTTCAAGGGCCTGTTGAACTCGCTGCCCACCACATGCGCCTACTTGCCCAGACCGTAAGCAAGAACTACTTCCTGCCAGATCGGGCCAGACGCGTTCATCCCTCTGCCGCTACGTGCCGACCCAACTTCTTGAACTCTGGCTCAGGGTTATCGAACAAGGCTGCCCACGGGTTTTTCAGATCGTATGATTGCGATCGCGCCTTCTTCGGCCCATGAATTAGTTTAGGTTGTTTTTTGGGAGGTGTTTCGGTGTGGTTTTCTGGGGATGGTGACGGGCCTGCAAGTTCCGGTTCTGGGTGAGAGCTCGATTTCCAGGCAAAATGTGAGGACGCTCCTCGCGAGAGCTCAATCTTAAGGAAACATATGAAGACGCCTCACACATGAGCTCGATTTCAAAGCAAAATGTGAGGATGCTCCACGCAAGAGCTCGATTCTGAAGCACAATGTAAGGATGCTCTGCGCAAGAGCTCCATCTCACGGTAGAATGTTTTGACATATTTTGACGCTCCAGCGAGACCTCAATTCCGAAGCAAATGTGCAGGCACTCGACGCGAGAGCTGGATTCCGAAGCAAAATGTCAAGACGCTCCGCGCCAGAGTTCAAATTGAAGGCATGATGTGAGGATGCTCCACGCGAGACCTCCATTCACAACGCTCCACGCGAGAGGTGCTGCCCTACATGTCCAAAGCACGGATGAAGATTGGACCATCTAGCTTCTCACTAGGTCTTGAAACGATCTCCCAGGCAGCCTGTTCGTTTTGAAAAGCAAAATATGGGGTTGGCGGGCGCAGCCTCCTCCATGTGCAAAAACATGAACAGAGATGAGAACCTTCAGATTTTTGGCGTCTTGAAAGGATCCCGGATCCCCTGGGCGGAGTGTTCGATTGGAACATTTTAAACAGAAAAACGAGGGTGTACCAAGATGAGAACATGTAGCTTTTTGCTGTCTAACAGCGATCTTCCAGGCAATATGCTTGCTTTGAAAAACGGAGGCATTCGGGAGCGCAGCTCCCCGCTTTGCGAAAGCATGATGGTGCGCAGAACCTTCATTTGTTGCCCGTGTAGTGATGACATGATGAGTTATTTGACATGCATGGTTGGCCCTCAAGGAGGAGGTGGATTGGGCAGGGGCCAGCACCACGCATTCATTAGCAAACAGAATGATCAGCATAACGCTCCCTTGCAGGAAACATAGTGATGATACGGTGGATGAAAGAGATCTTGTACCAATGCGTCCCCCCGCAGTGTTGCAGGTACCAAATTGGGGCTGTATAGGGTGGTGCAAGATTTCCTACATCCACAGTATGATGACTGTTGACGACAGGCTGGCCCTTAAGCAAAATATGAGGACACTCCATGCGAGGGCTCGATTTCGAAACAAAATGTGAGGACGCACCACCACCCAACGCAAGATGATGGTTCATTGCGCTACTGCATGTGAAGTTGATTGGTAGGAGTGCAAACTACTTCAACATAGCTCAGTGAGTGGAGGGCCATCACGCTGCAAAACTGGGCAGTTCCAAGCGAGTCAGGTCTGAAACGCTTTGAGATGCTGTGTTACGTGGCCATGACTGGCAGGTGCACACGATTGAAAAATAATGAAAAATGCGTGAGGTGCTTTTGACTGCGTTGCTTGCCGGCGGCGTCATGCGGTGTGCATGGTGTGCACAACTGTTGAAGACCAGGAGGCCGGAGGACGACAGGAGCAGAGGACCAAAGGACCATGGGCCAACCAAAAAAACAATCCTGCCCTCCCTTCTGGTTTCAGCAGGAAGTCTCAAGCACGAATCATCTCGGTAAGACACATCCAAAAAAGCTCTGGGTTTCTGATCCTTGGCTTTTTTGAAAGCTGCGGAGGCGCCTGATGCAATCTCTCCACCACTTGTTTGCCGCCATCCGTGGGGCCTAGGATATTGAAATGAGATTACTGAGAATGGAACATGCGAGCTACTGTCATTTGATCTCATCCGTCTGTTGCCGCAACCAGATGCTGTGCTCAGGCGTTCAAACGAGCATTCACGAAGAGCGTGAGGCGCTCGGAAGAAATTCACTCTGGATTAGGACCCCCAAGTCCATTCCACAAGGAAATCGCATGTCCACCCTCAGCATCCCACAAGCGCATGCTGAGCAACAAGAATATATCTGGGGGAAGAGCTCTGAGCCATCTTTGCATCGGGCACCTGGACAAACGTGGTGAGACTTGCACTACCACAATTGTTGCTGCTGCTGTTGTTAATTAAACTTGTGTTGTTTGGTGAGTTTCTGATCCTAAGACCCCCTTTGGCCAGAACTCAACTAGATGCTTGCTTCATGCTGATATCTTGCCATGCGGTTTGATTGTCTGAGGCAAGCAGCGTCCCCCGCTTTGGAGGGCAGTTCTCCAAGCTTCCACATGTCTGGAGGCAGGCAAGGCCTGCAGGAGATCCAGAGCGCTGACGAGAATCGACTCCTGTCAGCTCTTCGGCGAGAGACGGTCACGGTTTGACATCTTCAATTCCTTTAGGAGTTCAGGCCTCCTCGACGAGACGGCTGCAGGTGTTGAGCGGAGCTTTGGCCACAGCGAGTCTCACCAGGGCTTGGCCTCACACCGGAGGATACCAGAGGATTGTTTTGGCCATAAAGCGCCGATTTGAGCCCCAAACGAAGGAGCACCTTACCCAACAGAACCTGCAGATTGCCACCGTACAAAGCTGCACACTTCAAGAGACGGAAGTGCCTGGCCCTCGGAATGCGCTTGGCTCTCGAGGGCCGCCTTGAAGAAAGGAACCCCTCCTCCGCTTCCTGCAGAGTCCCACTCAGGTGCGGACGCTGCTGTCTAAAGCACCCAAGGCTTTCTGCAATTGCTGGACGACCTGCAGTTGACGGAATACAAAAGGGTCGACTGTCCACGTGCAGCTTGCACTCACACCTGCTGCAGCGCAGTCTCTTCAGCTGGTGCCGATGCTGACAGACCACCAAGAAGACTTGGATCCTAACAGCCACCAGTCCGGTGTGAAACACGTCCGCAAGCTTCCAGCGCTGCCTTGTCCAGGAAAAGACAGTCCGTCGAGCGGGTAGCAGAAGCAGCCTGTCAACCAGGCGTCAGAGGACACTTCACGTTGCTGAGTTGGAATTGCCTGCGGGACTGCCATTCGTAATTGCAATCTGCAAAGCCTGGTTACTGCTGCAAACTGGCATGAGCAGGCATGATCACGATGCTGGGCCCAGGCCAAATTTGCAGCTTCGCCGCTTCAAGTTTGTCCTGCAAGCTGCAGATTTTGAAGTATGCTTAGCTCAATTTTGAGCAAGCACAATAGACCAAACAGAGGTCCTTTGTTGCATTGAACAACTCGATGCCCTGCTTGGCATGTGTCATCGCCTCCAACTATGGAAGTGGTCTTCGCATGATTCAACAATGGAGCCAACAGACCGGTACGTCGTTTGAGCATTTCACTTGCATGACATTGCGTGTAACCATGGCATCTTTTTAGATGGCGAGCTCGGGCAATAGGAAAAAGACATGTTTGTCCACAAGACCGTACTGCAAGTTCAAATTGTATTTCCTGCCCGGGCTCTTGCTGGATGTGGTCGGATGCGAAGGAAGTGTCATGTCGTAGCAGGCCCCGAAATGTAGAACAAAAACTCCGTCAAATTATACAAACTTACTTGTGTCGCTGAATGACATGTCTGCAAGGCGGTGCCGGTTTTGGGCAAGCAACCCCGCATTCTCGACAACAGAGGGGTACCCCTGTTGCCGCGTTGCAGGCGATGCCATGGCGCGTCCCTTCTTGCAGGGCTGTGCACCATGTGTCATTTTGTACGCGCAGGGTTCACCACCCAAGGTTCTGCATACATCACACTTCGAGGTTGTGCGCGCATGCCCGTTCTGTTCTCTATGGTGACTGTAGCAGCGGCTCATCTTGCTCCTCCTCCCCCTCCCCGTCCTCCTCCTCCTTCTTTGTTCTCCTCCTCCTACATCTATGAGGACATACAGCGTGGCGTGTCATGGCGTGTTTATCCTCTGGACTCATCGGCTAGCAGCGGCCTTTGTGAAGCGTCCGGTGCTCGCGTACAAACGACCCAACCTCCAGCTCACAAGCACTCGGCAGCTAACCATCGAAGTCTATCCTGGGCTTCACTCTTCGCTGCCATGCTGGTCCTGGGTTACAGACATGCTGTATGCCCGAGCCAGGAGAGCCCTAGCCTGACGTTGGGCAATGGAAGCTTGTTGCAAACATGTCTCAACCATTGGCCTGAAGCTGAAGCTCTGAAGCCACCTGGCCCAGCACTGGACTAATAGACTGCTAGATGATATCAGGTTACTCGACAGCATTTAATTGATCTGTCATAGTCCAATGCTAGCACAGCAAGGTACAGTTAAGCCTCCTGAGGAACTGCGGCCAGCTGATGCAAGGACCGGAGGCAGAGGCTCACAGCCGACTGCGGATCAAGCTTGTCCCACTGGCTTTTGCCAAAAAAAAGAACGCTGTCCTGCAGCCATCGCTCACACTGAGTCGCTGGGGGCTGCATGGACTCGTTCATGCTCGCCACCTGAGCCTGTCAGTCAATGCATGCAGGGCAAACATATCAAAACAATCCGCCACACAGCTGTTGCCTCAATGTACTTGCGAGTGTCAGGATCGAGATCGTGGCCTGGTGCCTCAGATTGTATTAAAACGGCTCCCACATGCCTGGAAAAGCTCAAGCTCAGCTCGCTGGGGCAACCGACCACGCTTGGAAGAACCAGAGTCGCAAGCTCATGCAGAAGATCTGCCTGAACTGAACAGGACAAACTGGCAACTGTTCCATGGCCGAAGTGCAAACATTCGCATGGCATCTTCTCACGTCATCCTCTACTCCAGTTTTCATCAATATGTTCTGAGATTTCAGGCTTGTCGCGCAACAATCTTCCAGTCCTTGGGGTGAGTAAGAAAGTAGACGATCAGTGCTTGGAGTTAAGGCGAAGTTTTCTGTTGGGTTCAAGGCTGAAGGCTTGGCTAGAGCTTAGGGCCCAGGGCGTGAGGCTTGCCGCTTAGCGCTGCTGCTTAGCCGCTTAGGGTCTAGGGGATAGCCCGTAGCCTTTAGGGCTTGGTTTTTTTTTTGTGTGGAGAGCGTACCATGCGCAGCATAGGAGGTGAATGTTTTGCCAGAATGATAGCCAAGGCAAACTGCAAACTGAACTGAGCCAAGAAATTCTTATTTGACACACCCTGGACCTTCCACTTGCAGATGGACCCCAGCAGCGAGGACCTGCTTAGGGCAATCAGGCTGCAGGGCTCGGCCAGCATGCGGCAATGGGTAAACGAGCCAGCATTGCTCGTAAGGCCCAGCACGCTGCTGCTGCCCGGCATGTGGCTTTGCCACGAGCTCCTCCAAGGACTCTGCCAATGTAAAATTTCGTGAAGCAGTGCAGAAGCCTCTGCCGCGTCCAACTCTTTCATAGCAGGGCCGATTGTGCCTGGCTGATGCGGCTGAACAAGTACAATCCTACGAAGCCCGATTTCAGCTAAGGCATTGCAAAAGCACTTTCGCACTTTTCGAACTCTTCTCTGCTCGGTCCGAACACTCCGCTCTCTGTGGACCACACGGGCAGCTATCAACGTCACAGACGATGGCGGTCTACACGCAGTCAGCAAGGCGTGCTGGGTCGGGATGGCAAGTCAGAGCAGCAGCAGAAGATAGCATGTTGATGCCGCTGCTTCTGAGGCCAGCTCAGGTTCTTGCATCCTCAGCATGACATCTACCCGAATCTGATAGCTGCTCTCGCACAGGAGCAGGCACCCAGGGAGGGTACAGAGCTTTGTCCAGTAAGAGGCGTGGAGAATCGAAGAGCATGCTCAACGTAGGCCTCACAGAAAAATGCACTCGGCGAGATCGTCCTGATGATTGCAGCACAGAGCTGGGATGAGCTGGGGGACGTGCCCGTCCAAGTCGCTCTGCGAAGTGGGACGGATACCACACCTCCTAGCACTATCTGCGCATGATGAATCCAAATGGCCTGCATGCTGCAAGCTGCTTATTCATGGGTTTGCTTGCTGCATCCCGGTCCCCGAGCTCTCGAAGCTCCATCAGAGAGTAGACTTCCTCAATCTTCTGCTGCAGGTTTTGCGTGCCTTGCCAGCTCTCAGCTATCCTTTAAGCGTGATGTTCAGATTGCTTTGAGACCCGGACAGGTTGCGATTGTCTCTTCTCTCACCATGTTCACAAGTATGCTGCCTGAGGTTGATCCATAATCATACGCACTCGGGGGGAAGTCACTCTTTTGGGCTCCAAGTGGCAGGAAGAGGTCTACCCCACTTGGCTGCTCTTTCGCAGATCGGCGCGACAAGGTTATGCCCCGTGGACAATTAAACTCCAAACTCTACACAAACCTGCATAGACCCGCTCAGGGCCCCTTTCAAGGTCTACAGACTTGTTGCGTTGGCAAAGCTGGGAAATGGAGAAACTCAGGACAGCGCTTTCAGCAGGCGGAAGCGCCTGACCAGGACGTACTCATTGTAGAAATCTTGGAGCGCATGCTGTCTGAGTCCGGTTTGCATGTGGCATAATATGATCTGCTTTACATGTCGACCCCCCAGCCTGGAACCAACCTTAAGCGCGGACATACCAATGACTTTCCCCAGAAAGCAATGAGACCGATGGATCTTGACAGTATATGAGGGACATGAGCTATAGTCCAAACCCCTAGTATCCCCCTTAATATCCCCTATAATACTCCCTCATATCATCCCCTATTTCACCCCTTGAAGGACTTTAGACAGTAGCTCACATGGGAAGACTGCTGGGACATCGGACGTGGGAATGATTTCCAAATCCAGGTGTTTTCGGCTTCTTGTTTTTACGAACACATTTGGGCTTCCCAAAATCAGGGATACCCTTTTGAGGGTTCCCATAATAAGGATTACAGCATTTTGCTTTCTACATTTTCGTTCCCCCCATTTTGGGAAACTACCTTTGTTGTCTTGCTCATGGTGTTCGTAGCCAAGCTTTCAGTAGGCTTTCTATAGAGTCAAGGCTTTTCCGGCAGTTGGTTACACCAGAATTGAACTTCATGATTTCTTTGCATAGGTTTGCTAGAACTATGCGTCTTGAAGGAATAAGTGGCATGCTAGTTCAGAGTGATTAGCGTCAACCAGGCTCCATGTCGACTCAGACACCTTTCAATTGGGGGCGATCATTCCAAAGGTCATTGCAAAGAAGACTGCTGCATGCAATGACATGCTTAATTCCATTCGGGGTTGGTCGAGAAGTGGTAGAAGAATATGTGCAGGCATAAAATCATGCTGCATCATGTATCATGTACAATTGAATCTACTATGAAGCGTGCCACGCAGCCTTCGCTGAGTCATAGCGGTGGATGCACGCTCCGTGTCTGCTTCTATGAGGGTTACATAGGACATAGGGATAGAATATGGATTGTAAGGAAGAGATTATCCGAACTATCAGTCCACGCTTGCAGGTGTACGGGGGGATGACCCCTAGTTGCGAATACATAGGGATTATCACGAATAGCACTAAATCATTGAGCGGTGGCGTTCGAAAAACCCTCGCCTTCTGCAGTACCTTCCACAGCAAGGTGAGCATGCGCGCTGGCAACCTCATCCCAGTCGGGCAAATACTTGAACAATCAGCCACAATAGCGGAATGAGGTCCCGCTCTGGGCTGTTGGCATCTCTCGCAGGCTGGATTGTGCACGCTTCACCTAGCACATTCGCAGACATTAAGTCTGTGCAGCTAGATCGAGAACTGGGCCTTGAGTCTCACAAGCAAGATCATCAGCAGACGCTGCCACTTCTCCCTCGAGAAGGTCCTCGGTGCAGCTTTTGTTGTTCACAAGGGTTGTCCAGGCGGATACAAGCAGCTCTTGGAATCACCTCCACAAGGTAACGCTGCCTATTGCTCTCACCAAGGGTCTAGTTGTCTCAGTCTTTGAAGGATCTACACGCGAAACTAGAGGCAGTACTGCAGCTGGGCCATATTTCAGGTTTGGGTCGTGTCGCACTGTCCGGAAACTATTGAAATGATCACGATATGACATTCTCGTGGATAAGCCCTAAGATTGCTTGGACATCAACGCTAACTGCTACTGCTATGTTCAGTGATGTGAGCCTGACTCCCTCTGACTCTGACCCTCTGGCTAATTAGCTTGCAAGCCACCATACCGTGGACGGGATGTTGCACAACACGTAACTTTGACTTCCCGCTTTATAGGCTAGCAAAAGCTTTGTCAATTGCGAATAATTACGAGCCCCGCGATAGCCTCACCATGCGAAGTAATTGGGCCAGACACTCTGATTTCAGCGTCTTCGACGCCGAAAGCATGGCGATGAGATCTGACCTCGGTAGTGCTTGGGCCGTCCAGCTTGGCATCACATGACAGCAACATGGGCTTAAGTTCTATGCGTGCTATCCGTTGACGCTTGTGACTTGTCCGCTCCATCAAAATGATTTCGCCCAAGAACTGTCAGGACACCCTTCTCCCGGCACAGCGTGACGACAATAAGGAGCTAAGACATCCCTTGAAAACGTTGTCGGGAACCAAACAAGCCCTGGCAAGATGAGAAGGGAAGAATGACTGTTGACAAGACGTATTTCATCACAAGAGCTAGTCACTACTGTCTAAACCATAACAGTCCCCTATATAATCCCCTATTTAACCCCTGTTTGAGGAGTTTCGATGGATTTCATCACATGCTGACAGGCAAAAAGCGATGGCAACACTGCTGTGAGCAACGAATGCAGGGAATTCATGAAACCGGTGCAAATTAGATATTACTACGATTTACTACGTATAACTTTATTGGGGTCGTATAGGTTCTAGGGCTATAAGAATGGAAAATATGTACGGAAAAGGAATTGGAAAGTGTGGTTATGTAGAAATGGGCACACACCTTGCGATGCAAATCCATTGCTAAGAACGAAGCAGCTGGTCTGCCATGGCTTCGCGCACCTAAGAGCTGGCAGGTGAATACAAGTACATGTTCCTTTTGATTTTCCATTATTTGGATGATATCCCTTAACCCTATACAACCCCAATAAGGTAAAAATAGTCACAATAGTAGCAATACGAATAATAGTAATGTGCAGTTCCATATGAAAGGGCCCATCCCAAAAGTGTAACGTGGAAAGCAGGACTTTGACGCCAGTGCCACACCGGAGATGGCATCCGAAAGTAGCCGACTGCCCCGGGCCCTGCTGGCATGCACTTCCTACCCACCTATTCGCAATGGTTTTGCAAAACAGCTTCAAGTACTTGGGCAAGAGTGCACACCTCACAAGCTGCCCTCCCCTTCTCCCACCGGCCCACCTGAGTAAGGGGAATCTGCTTCAAAATGTGCTCGGGCCCTACCCCCAGTCCTTGAACTGCCCTCCCCCAACCCCACGGCCAAACGACAAGGATATGGCTTGGAGCTTGCAGTACGGCCCGTAGCGGAAATTAGCTCGTCCAATTCCATTCCACCTTGGGACACCCCCCACCTCTGCCACGCATCCCCGACCCGCCTTCACATCAACATCGCTTGCCCAAGCCCTACCCCCCATGAAGCGTGAGCCAGGCCTTCAGCCATTCAGCCTAGATGAGGGCTTCAGTGGTGGGAGAAGCTCTATAAAGATGTGACTCCCTGAACTTGGACAGACTCAGCCTTCTTCTTTCCAAGAGTATAAATCTGGACACACAGTTCCTTGCTGGAGCTTCTCCATGACAGTTGCCAAACCTAACCGCATGTTAGCATCGTTTTTGAGCGTTTCAATTGGCGGCGACCTCCCCTGACCCCTGTCCTCAACCCTCCCCCAGCCTGGTCCCACATCCTACCAAGTGCGGCACGATCACCTCGCCAGACCCAAGCCTCAGAGTCTCGCAGTGCTCGCAGGGAAGCACGGAGCTTCACTCTCACAAGCTTCTTGAACTTGGCTATCGGCTTGGGCATTGCATGCTGTAGTCGCTTGTTGCAGGCCTGGACCGGCACATTTCCGAGTTCTGCTAGCTATGTCCTCAGCGGGATGTGTGCATGGAGGTCTGCTCTATGACCATGTGTTAGGTGCACCTCGTCCCTGAATGTGTGACTTGTGCCCGTTCAAGAGGTTAGGGGCAAGGCAAGCTGATTGCAGAGGAACATGGCATTCAAGAGCATGTAACGTTTACTTTGGCGATCCCAAGCGTAAATACAAATGGGCCAGTTTGCTTTTCGCCGAATCAGGAAACACAGTCCCTCAATTTTTGACAGAAATCCAACTATGTAGACATATGATACGAATTTGAGGACAATCCAGAGACAACAGCCAACTGCAGCAAGGCCTGCCCGGCCAAGCTGCCTGAGGCCTGCGGCGACTACAATGTTTGCCATCGCCCAGAAAGAATCCCGGTAATAATAGCAGTGATAGTAATAGTACTAGTCTCCTGTTGCTGCTCCAAGTTCGAGTCCTGCCTGATCAAGGCCCATGCACGGATGTAACCAAGAACTTCGCAGAATAAGGGCGCCGCATCGAAGCTCCGGGTCGATGGCGTCAGCAGCCAAGCATCATGCTTATGTACTTGCTACTGCTGTGAGATATCGTTGGAAAATGTTGGAAGAAACTGGCGGTTGCGTGATTGGGCGTGTTTGAGCCAAACAGCTACAGGGGACCAGCAAGCTTTGCCAGCGTGCTCCGCCCAGCCCTAGAAGATGAAGGCTCTCTTGCCCTTAGATTGGCACAAGCCTCTGCCGACATGCAGCTGTCTCACAGAGTTCTGTCACTTGCGAAAACGTTGCCAGCAACGCGTAAATCACCGTGGCCATATCTGCATCGTTGGCGCAGCCTTGCCAAGCCTTGCATCTACATGCATGAGTCCTGGCCTTTGGTTAGCTGGGAATGAAGGAATGGAAAAACAATGGAAACTACTACAGGGTTTAGGGTTTAAGGTCTAGTGAGTCTGAGTTCAGGCTGGGCAGGCTACGAAGATTCTGTGTGCCAGGCAAAGGTGTGCGTTGACGGCTTTGGCATGGATCCTTTCCTCACGGCCACAGCGACAAAGATGTCAAAATCTCTGCCCTTCTGGAAATGCCTCAAGCTGCCGCACACTGCGCGCAAATCTAGTCTCCAGGTTGTTGGGCAACACGCTGCTCGAATACCTCCGCAGACCGCTCGGCAAACCGCAGCATACCGCGACTTTCAGGTCAGCAGCGAGCATTTGCGGAGATTACGAGAGCCTGCTTCTCGTCCCAAGTTACTTATATATGTTTCAGAGCCAGCAGAACCCGCGCACTCAGCAACGTGTTTCCTGCTTCGCTGAAGGTGTTGCCTAAGCTGATGCCGGCATGTAGCAATGTAGCTGCTTCATTACGCGGGGAAACTACTTCGATACTCGCGCGGTCTGCATGAGGCATCATCAAAACAGGGGCAGTAGCTTGTTGCTGTACCACTTAGTTCTGGACAGTGCGCTGAGAGTTCTTGACAGGTCCAAGTCCACGTCACCATGCTCGTCCTTGCGTTCGCTGTATCTGGGACATGTATGTCCAGGGATCCTCTTGTACCTTTTCCTCAATTTAGGCTTCTAAGTCAAGAGTTTGATTGGCAGAATAGCGATTTTTAGCAATCCCAAATTCAACTTCTCTGGTGCCTCGGCCAGAAAGGTGTCTGCAAGAAACTCGAAGGCAGAAGCCAGCAGCAACTGAAACCTGGAACGATGGTTGTTAGATGAGTTTCCCCCTTGCTGGCCACCCACCTGCAAGGTAGAGGCGGAGGGGCCAAGCCGTCCTCAAGTTTTGGCACGGCTGCTGGCAAGGCAGATCGAAAGAACTTCTCCGATGCCTCCGTGCTACGAGTGGCAGACTTCAATGCTCGGACCTCACTGGAAACAGTACAAACGTCAGTTTTCAGCTGGCGATTTTTTCCAATCTGTAGTGAGCGTTCACATCAACTCAGGGCTCACCAGATAATGGACCCGGACGCCTCAAGAGTCTATGTAGTCAGGGCTTCCGAGGACTTCTTACAAGTTTCCAGCATACCCTGCTGGCACTCCTACAAGTAGCAGCGTTTCGTAGCTCCAGACCGCTCCGCCTGCAACATACTACTTGTACCCTCAGGCACATGAACAGCCATGTGCAAAGGTGCAGAGAAGATGACCATTGCCAGATGACATCTCAGAAGAACACGGATCGTAGCATCATCTGACGAACCCGGAGTGGATGGCGGCAGCTTTTCGCCGTCCACCTGCCGAGAGCAAGAAGAGTGATCCCTGACACTTGGGCACCATGTGTAGATTGGCAGTTCCAGCCTTGTACCGGACGGAACCTGAAAAAGTTCATTTACAAGGACATGGCTGCCTACAGCACCAGATTCGTATCTCCACGCTGAAGAGAAAAACCCTACGGGTGCAGTTGGGCGCGCAGCATGCCCTGGACCAGCTTGGGCCATTACATGCTTCAGTTCGGTCCCTCGACCAGCATCAGTTGCCATCGGAGATTGCGCAAGCCTCACCTTTGCAACTGAAGCATCTGAGCAAAGAGGGCGTGCTGAGAGATTTTCTGGGCAATTCGACCATCTAAGGCCTGTACCGCTGCATGGTAACTGAGCAAAGCTTTGGTAACCTTTGCACAATCACCAACGAGCGTCGGCAAGGTTGTGCTGGTTTCCTGCATCTGATCTGAGCGCACCAGAAGTGCTCGGAGGCGTTGCGAGCTCGGAGATGATTCAGTCTTGCTCTCCTGCAGTGCAGTAATGGAGATCCCTTTGCTGTGGGACTTCGTCTTCATGGATCCTCTGCCGCGCTCCCAACCAGGCCAGGTCTCGAGCCCTTGCAAAACAGGGAAGCCAAACTGGCTTGTTTGATTTTGACAATGACATGCAAGCACTACCGGCGGGTCCAAATCTTCAGGGCCTCATGCCACAGCGCCCAAACAACGTCAAAACCATTTGCTACAACCACTCCATTTGAGAGCATTTTTCCGCGTTGGATGGGCAGGCAGCGGAAGTCTTCACTTCAGGCCAAAACCCTGCGTCTCCGTCATCGCCTCAAGGGGATACATACGTAAGGTAGTTCTGGTAGCCGGGGATATGTAGGGGTTTTGAAGAAAGTGTGCAGGGGTGCTCGGGGATTTGGAAGGGAGCATATTCTGTAGGGTTACGCTGGTTACACTTACGTCGGCCCTGCTCCTGAAACAGCCGCGCTCGAAGCACACCAGGTGACGAGTACAGCGGCAGCAACAGCGTGTGAAAACCTCGCATCTCGCAGCAAGCTCAAAAACGCAAACACATCTCGGACAGGAAAGCTGAAGCCTCTTGATCCGATCAGCTTGAGTCTTGAAAGCATCAGATCTCTCATCTCAACCGATGCCCCTTTTAGGATGTCTGTCCAAGAATTGAATCGCTGATAGGGTAGCCGCTGCAACATAACTCCTTTTATCGACTCGTTTCCTCCAAAATTACCAAGTAAGGACCCCTCTGCTATGCCCTCTTTTGGGGAATCAAATGTGCAAAAGCTTGCATGCCATCTGCCATCCAAGTTTCAAGTGTACGACGTCGGCAACCTGAGACTTACTTGGTGTTTAGCGAATGCCCTGAGCAAACCGACCGCGCCTTTCATCTCCGGTGCCATTTTTCTGGATCTGCAGGTTCAAGTCCGACCATCCCCTCGCAGGCATCCTGGCATTGGTCAAATCGCACAAAGGGCATCAAACAAATTCAGCACTTCCAGGATCCTGGAACTCGAGGAAACAAAGACTGCGAAGCTGTTCAGCTCGTCTTCGCTGAAACTGTTGAGGATGTCCTTACTTCATCAGCAATGTTTCCTTTCAAATGCTGCAACGATGCGTTCATTCTATTAACAGACCTGCCCATCTTCCATTTACCCAGGGGGGGTCCAGAAGCGCAGATGGCAATTTCGCAGGTCCCCCCACCAGGGGCTGACATGTTGCAAGCACGAGCATCAAGATGTGTTGGTTGTGGCTATCTGTCGCTGCGTTGCTCTCTTGTAACCAGGACTTTGCTTCTCCACATTGTGCCATTCCAAGATTGGGCTACACTGTCGCGTCTTACCTGTGAAGGCTAAGGAATTTGTAGGTTTCGGCGGGTGAAGTAAAACGATGTTTGTATTTTGGCATGGCTTAATTTATTTGTATGGGAGACACAAGGCCAGAAAAGTTGAGCCCGAGAACGGCATAGCTTGTGGTCAGATCAAAACGGAGGCCTATGACTAGCCGGATCCAGAGGCTGGCAAGTTCTGGCGGATTTCGCAGCCCCAACCCCTATGAAAGTGTATATAGGTCCTGGGGGGGAGGTGCGGCAACGCATGCACATACCAGCACTTGGCTCAGCCACTAGGCCTCGGCCATCCTACACGATCTGGTGCTTGTAATCCCGCTTGTCTTGCCATTGCCTCTGACAGTGTCATAGGGATCATAGGACCATTTACCAGTGCAGGTATCACCTCTTCATCATCGCGCGAACCCATTGCAAGCTAGCCTATCAACCGCAAACTACGGCTGATAACCTAAAGATCCACTCCAGGTTAGCAAGCACTCTACCGTTAAGCCTTGTAATCCTGCTCTTTTACAGTGGGCTGCGGCGATCATGATCATCATCATGGTCGGCTGCTACAGGCAACATGTGATTCCACATGAAACAAAGCTGTAACATGCATGGCATGCAACTGGAAAATCAATTCAAACGCATTGGAGATTTCAACAACGATATAGGGTTTTGGGTTCATTGCTTGAGAGGCTTGCCGGATACAGGGAGCACATTGCCCTCGATGCCTCGTTGAGGCGGCTCTCGCGCCCGGTACAGTGCGAAAACGCGCGCCCTAGCCTAAGGCAAGCAAGCCACGGGTGTGCCGGTACACTTGTATACAAGAGCATGGTCTAGCATGCTATAGCATACGAGTCTAGGATACTATAGTTTCCTAAAGTTTGCTATAGTATACCATACTGCACTAGAGTGTTTTTCTAGCGAGCACTGCGAGCT